GGTCATCACCGAGCCCACCGCAGCGTCACGACCAGGGGCTTTTCGCAGGCGAAGACCACTTTAGTTAGGATAAGCTGTACTACTTGTCCCCTTTCAAATCCGGCCGTTCTGGGATCCCTTCTCGCCAACATCTGGGAAGAGGACCAAGGCCACTATAAATAGGACTTAGCCACCACCATAGAGAGGAGAGACATCTAGTTGAGGATGGATCGGATCCACTCTCATCTGACCGCCTCACCATCTCTCTCGAGCTCAAGAACACCTCACCTCCTGAGGCCAGTTCATCCACTGTACTAGTTCATCCTCAACCCTTTGAGGCAATCCACCAAAACGCCGGAGTAGGGTATTACACCGCAAGGTGGCCCGAACCAAGATAAACTGATGTGTCATTTTGTCTCTTCGAGCTCGACGCGCTAGGCTTAGGAGGATCGCGAGTAGGCAGGCTGGGTAGGTTGAGATCTCTGCACGCACCCCAGAGTTCGAACCTTTCAAGGGTTTGCGGAACCCGTAATCCGACACCATGAGATCATGCAACTCCCGGATACTGGAGGAATACCTTGTGTGCTATCAAACGTCACAACGTAACTGGGTGATCATAAAGATGCTCTACAGGTATCTCCGAAGGTGTCTGTTGGGTTGGCATGGATCGAGATTAGGATTTGTCACTCCGTGTACCGGAGAGGTATCTCTAGGCCCTCACGGTAATACAGCATCATGATAACCCACAAGTATAGGGGATCGTTTGTAGCCTTCTTCGATAAATAAGAGTGCCTAACCCAATGAGGAGCTAAAGGCAGAACAAATATTCCCTCAAGTTCTATCGACCACCGATACAACTCTACGCACACTTGACGTTTGCTTTATCTAAAACAAGTATGAAACTATTTTGCAAGAATAAAACTACGAGTACTTTGCGAGAATAAAACTATGAATAAAATGCAAGATAATAAAAGTGGATAGCTTTTGTCGACAAGAAAGGCATTTGTCCCTAGGTAATCGATAACAAGTATCGGTAATCATTCTTGCAATTTTATATGAGGGAGAGGCATGAGCTAACATAGTTTCTCTAGTTGGATCATATACACTTACGATTGGACCCCTAGCAAGCATCCGCAACTACTAAAAATCATTAAGGCCGTGAAACCCAACCATAGCATTGAGTATCAAGTCCTCTTTACTCCCATAAGCCATAACTCACTTATCCGCGTTTAGGCTGCTGTCACCCCCGCAACATCGACAATAAGCATTGCAACACCCTACAGCGGGACCCCCTCATGTTTGCGCGAAACGGAGGCCACCATAGGACAGCACCATAAATAAAATATATAATCATACCAACCAAGATCACGATTAATCCATAGGACAAAATGGATCTACTCAAACATCATAGGATAGCCAAATAATATTGGGAAATAATATATGGAGTTGAGCACCATGTTTAAGTAGAGATTACAGCGGGGAGAAGAGGTGTTACACCGCTTCATAGAGGGGGGGGAGAGTTGGTGTTGACGGTAGCAAGATTGTTGATGTAGATTGTCGTCAAGATCCTAGCCCTGGCGGCACTCCGGCGCCACCGGGAGAGAGGGGGAGAGAGCCCCATCCTTCTTCTTCTTCCTTGCCCCCCTAGATGGGAGGAGAGTTCCCCCTCTGGTCCATGGCCTCCATGGCGGCGGAGGGGCGGGAGTCCCTCTAAGATTGGATCTCCCTCTCTGTTCTCTTCTGTTTCGCGCTCTCCAGATCTGGCCCTTCATGGTTTCTTAAATTCCCGGAGATCTGTAACTCCGATTGCGCTGAAATTTTTACACGATTCTTTCCATAAATTATCTTTCTTACGCTAGAAGAAGGGCCCCAACCGACCTTCGAGGAGGGCACAAGATACCTGGGCACGCCCTGGTGGGTCGTGGTCATCGTGGACCCCCGTTTGCGTTGATTCCACCTCCCAAAAATTATAAATATTCCAAAATAATTCTCCATAAATTTTTATCGCGTTTGGACTTTGTTTGATATGGATTTTCTGCGAAACAAAAAACATGCAACAAACAAGAATTATCATTGGGCACTGGATCAATAGGTTAGTCCAATAAATCATATAAAAGGTTGCCAAAAATATGTGAAAGTTGTATAATATTGGCATGAAACAATAAAAAATTATAGATACGACGGAAACGTATCACATACAAGAAGCTTGCAAGCAAAGTGACTAAGGATTTAGTTACGAGATGATGTATTATAGAATGAGTAAAGAGACTTGCCGGTAACGAGATTGAACTAGGTATGGAGATACCGACGATCGAATCTCGGGGAAGTAACATACCGACAGACAAAGGGAACTACATATGTTGTCATAAATGTTTGACTGATAAAGATCGTTGCAGAATATGTAGGAACCAATATGGACATCCAGGTCCCGCTATTGGTTATTGACCGAAGAAGCGTCTCGGTCATGTCTACATCATTCTCGAACCCGTAGGGTCCGCACGCTTAACGTTCATTGACGATATAATATTATATGAGTTATGTGAGTTGGTGACCGAATGTTGTGCGGAGTCCCGAATGAGATGACGAGGAGCTATGGAGTGGTCCGGAGGTAAAGATCGACATATAGGACAATACTATTTGATCTCCGGAAAGGTTTCGAAATGCACCGAGTATTCATCGGGTCACCGGAAGGGGTTCCGGGAGACCTACGAGGAGTTTATGGGCCTAATGGGCTAAGGGAAGGAACACACCAGCCCACAAGGGGCTGGCGCGCCCTCTCCCTGGTATTCTTGATAGAAAACCATTCTACGAAATTACAATCTGATTGTACAGCTGGCCAATCTTATCCGGGCAGATGCCCTCTTCACACGTTGCCGTTTCATATCCACGTGTGAACATATCAACGTGGATGAGATTGGCCAGCTGTCCAATCAGATTGTAGTGACAATTCTTGATGAATGAAACACCATTTTTTTCGCAAGAAAAAAGTGGCCTAATCTTTTTTTTATTTGAGAACAGCCATAATCTCTTTTTTTTTAGCAAAAGCCATAATCTGTTGGGTGAAACAGAAAACCGAAGGAGAGATAAGGTTTGGGCCAGCCCAGCCACAGCCTCTCCCTCGCTCCCGAGCTCAGCTCGCCTCCCCTCCGCCTCACCTCGCCGGCGTTGCCAGCTCCTCCCACCCCGCCGCCCTCATGCTCCTCCCAATGCGCCGCCTCGCCTCTTCTCCTTCCATTCCAGCCGCCTATCCACACATCTCCCCTGCGCGGCGCTCCCTCGGGCTCCGGCGACAACATGGTCGAGGGGCGTCGGCAAGGAGGACGTCAGCGACGCCTGTGGTGTGCTGCTCGGGTTCCCTGCCCGTAGCCAGCCAGCCTACAATGACCGGAGCGAATCCGGTGACGGTGGCGGGCACAGAGATACCATCGGAGTGGAGCGGGGACGCGATACGCCGGCGTTTCCTTGATTTCTACGCCGCCCGTGGCCACAAGATACTTCCGAGCTCGTCTCTCGTGCCCGATGACCCCACTGTGTTCCTCACCATAGCTGGGATGCTTCAGTTCAAGCCTATATTTCTTGGCAAGGTGCGTCCGCATTATTAGAACATCAATTCCTCAAGTTTTAGTGGTTTCTGAGAAATTTGGGAATGTGGCGAACAAGTATAGTTTTCACTTTTCGTTTATAGTACTCCAGAAACACAGGAATAAAAAACATTTAACCAATTTCATGTCATGGCATATTGAACCTTACATGAACTAAAATCACAAGAATATGTAATAGAAGTTGTTTGGTTGCACCACATGAGAAATATAGGAATTTGCTTGGGGTATTGGGTGTGTGACATCCAAAGTAGCGGGTAGGAAAATTTCTTGTGGTTTCCAGTCCCTCAAATCAAACAAGTTTTACATGAAAAATTCCTAAGGAATAGAATCCTCCAAAATTCTTACTAATCAAAGACGCCCTTATGTTTCAGTCCATTAGCACAATTCTTAGCGTTATTTGTTGTCCATTACAATAGTGGTGTTTACAGTTCAATTCAATTTCTGAGTCGTTGCAGTTGTAGTAATAGAGAAGGAACTTCGTCATTGTTCCTAGATACACACACTATATTCCAGTCTGTGCCTGTTTGATTTTACTACATGATGAAGTCCGTGTATTGTTACTTTATTAGGAACCTAGGCATGTACCATGTGCCACCACATCCCAGAAATGTATACGGACAAATGACATTGAGAATGTGGGACGCACATCCCGACATCAAACCTTCTTTGAGATGCTTGGGAACTTCAGCTTTGGCGATTACTTCAAGAAGGACGCAATCAAATGGGCATGGGAGCTGACAACCAAGGAGTATGAACAATTCCTTTATTCCGCATGCATCATGATATCCATGATGGTAAACTTTAAGCTGTTTATCTGGAAAAGATTGCCATGTCTCCGCTTGTTATCGAGATGTTGTTCACACATTTCAAATCCATTATTGTGCCGGATGTGATCTTTGTCACTTTGTGCTATCCAAATACATTATTATGTCAAGATTCAGCTGTTCTTAAACTGCTGTTATATTACCTCAATGATGTTACTTGCATTTTAACTATCAGACTAGGCAAAGGAATCCACTTTACTCCACTGGGTTTTTATGGGTAGTTATAGTCCCCTGAACTTTTTGGGTCACTTAACCTCCTGAACTTGTTTTTGCTCTACTTAACTCCTGGAATTTATAATAACGGGTCATTTCACTGTTCACTCCCTGACATCACATGTGAATGCTAATGCCATCTTCTACCTGCTTCGCGCTCAATATGTGTTGATTAGTCGGCCAGGCCCACCATGTTGTAGAAAACGATGTCAGCATGCATGTGTTGGAAAAATCACTCCAAAACCAGCCTGGGGGGAGGGTGTATGAAACGATCTGGTATTAGAATTACAATAGTTTAAAGGGGGGGGGGGGTGGAAATTTGTGTTACTTGAGGAGGAAAGTGGACTTTTTCCTTGACTCAGTGGAATCTTTAGAACATGCTATGAGGTGCCACGCAGCAGCATTCCTGCAATTCCTTTTCATGTTCTGCTAGTGCTACCATTCATTTTGTTTGTGAACTTTGTTTAGGTATGGATTACCCCCAGAAAGATTGTGGATTAGTGTATTTGAAGATGACGATGAGGCATTCTCTATTTGGCTCAATGAGGTCAGTTGTGTAAAACTGCATATTTCTGCAATTTTGCATACCTTCTCTGTTTGTTTGTTTGTTACTGCAGTGATAAACATATAGTACATTTAACCACATATCACTGCCAATTCTCAAATTAATTTAACCCTGTCCATAGTTAAGAATTCACGAGATATATCTATAGACAAAAAACCTTTAAAATCCCCAGAAAAATATGCAACTTTTCCAGAACAACTCAGTTTTAGTAAAAAGAGAGTAGATATTCTGTGTAATGAATTTGTGATTCTTTGCTAGTTATTTGAAATGTCAAACTTGCACGTTTCTTTTGAGAGGTGCAGGGATCGTGTTTGGTATCATGGTACATGACACTCGAAAGATATAATGTTCTTCATTTGGATTTTGCTAAGCTTATAGCAACGAATTTCTTCCTGCTTATTCTATCCAGGTTGGTGTACCAAAGGAACGAATAAAGAGGATGGGCGAGGATGATAATTTTTGGACTAGTGGTGCCACTGGACCTTGCGGACCATGTTCTGAAATGTATTATGATTTCCATCCTGAGAGAGGATCCTTGAATGCGGTATGTAAAGATTCTATGGCATCGATGGTTAAATGTTCAGTATTTTCTATTCTGTATGGAGTTCTCCAGTACTGAAATTAGTGATGTTCATATAGTTGTGTGCAGGATTTGAATGATGATAGCCGATTTATCGAATTCTATAATCTTGTCTTCATGCAATACAACAAAAATGATGATGGATCTCTAGAACCATTGAAACAAAAGAACATTGATACAGGAATGGGGCTTGAGCGTATGGCGCGCATTCTTCAAGATGTAATGCTCGTCAATCCTTCAAATGGTCCATAACATTTTCTTTTGAGCTATAATCTAACTTTGCACAGTTGTCTATTATATAGGTTCCAAACAATTACGAGACAGACTTGATTTTCCCAATAATGGAAAAGGCAGCAAGCATGGCACTAGTTTCCTACAGTAAAGCTGATGATGCTATGAGGACAAATCTTAAAGTAAATCAATCTGGATCTATTACTTGTTTCATGATAAATTAGTTGTATGGACATAACCTTTGGCATTTTCTATCTTGCTAGGTAATTGGTGATCACATGAGGGCAGTTGTTTATCTCATATCAGATGGGGTCATCCCCTCGAATATTGGGAGAGGATATGTTGTTCGAAGGCTTATAAGAAGGGTAGTCCGGACTGGTAGATTGATAGGTATGAGAGGTGATGGGCACGAGAACTCTGAAGGTGCATTTTTACCTTCTCTAGCTGAGACAGTAATTAGCCTTAGCAGGGAGATAGATCCAGATGTTGAATCAAGGCGGAAATCGATTCTTGGAGAACTTCTAAGGGAAGAGCTGCGATTTGTACAGACTCTGGGAAGAGGTGAAAAGTTATTAGATGAACTTCTGGATGAGGCATTAGGTAGTGCTGGCGGGGACAAGCCTTGCCTATCTGGAAAAGATGTATTTCTTTTATATGATACATATGGTTTCCCCATAGAGATTACAGCTGAAATAGCTAGTGAACAGGGTGTTACTATTGATATGAAGGGGTTTGATATTGAAATGGAAAACCAAAGAAAACAATCTCAGGCTGCTCACAATGTTATCAAACTTTCTGTAGGAAATGAGACCGAGATTGTCAAAAGTATCCCTGATACTGAATTTTTGGGCTATGAGTCCCTTTTTGCAACAGCTGTTGTTAAAGGTCTTTTAATTAATGGAAACCCAGTAGAAAATGTTTCAGAAGGTACTGATGTGGAAATACTATTAGACCGAACACCGTTCTATGCTGAATCGGGTGGTCAAGTTGGAGACAATGGTTTCTTATATGTGTATGGAGAGGAAGGTGGAAAACAAAATGCAGTCATAGAAATCAAAGATGTCCAAAAATCCCTGGGGAACATCTTTGTTCACAAAGGCACAATTAAACAGGGGTCAGTCGAGGTTGGAAAGAAAATCGACGCTGCAGTTGATGGAAAACTGAGGCAGGGAGCCAAGGTATGAAACCTACGAATGTTTTTTCTTTCTTCCGTCTTCATGCATTTTATGAATAATTAAATTTTGCTTCTGTTTTCATCCATTTTATAAATAATTAATAGTTGGGCCATCTGTGTGCTTTTGCTGGCCGGCATTTTAGACATTTGTAATAATTTTGTGAGCTTTAGACAAATATCATTTAGGCACCTTTACTGGCTTTAAACAAGATACAAATATTGCTCAAGATAGTTATTTCGTTTTGCTGGTGTCCTCTGATAGCTTAGCATACATTCACATAAGATATTGCTGGTAACTGGCATGAATATCAGTAAAAGGAAATGAGCTCTTTGTGACCTCAATTATCTAGTGTCTTCTCAGTATATGCTAGAACATGATGATATTACTGTTGCCTTGAAGCAAAATTTTTGCCTCTAACGAATGCTCATCCAGGAAGTTACCGATTGCATCTTTTGCTACAGCACCTATCTATTTCCATTTCTTCTTTAACTTCTTTCTGTTTCCCTGTCTAGGCTCATCATACTGCTACACATCTACTACAGTCCGCTCTTAAAAGTGTCATTGGTTCAGAGACATCACAGGCTGGATCCCTTGTGGCTTTTGACCGTCTCCGATTTGACTTCAGTTTCCATCGGCCCCTTGCAGAAAAGGAGTTACTGGAAATTGAATCACTAGTGAACCAATGGATTAGCGACGCAACACATCTCGAGACAAATGTGATGGCATTGCAAGATGCGAAAAATGCTGGTGCCACTGCAATGTTTGGAGAAAAATATGGTGAACAGGTTGGTATTTATAAAACAAAACATGGCATTCGAAATTAAGATATTACAGCAACATTTCTGCAAAGTCATATCACAGCATGCGATGTTTAAATTTTTTGTGAATTCTGCTAGGTTAGAGTTGTCGAGGTCCCTGGGGTGTCGATGGAACTGTGTGGTGGAACTCATGTCAGTAATACTGCGGAGATCCGTGGATTCAAGATAATCTCAGAACAGGGAATAGCTTCTGGAGTCAGAAGGATTGAGGCAGTTGCAGGTGATGCATTTGTTGAGTATGTTTGTTCACGGGACAACTACATGCGACACTTATGCTCTTCGCTTAAGGTATGGTCCTACTCATTGTAGCGATTTTCTCTTCTCCCCTGACATGTCATATTTTCTCGATGACTTGAGTAGCTGAAATCTGTGCATCTGATGATCTTCATACTTGTTCAAATGAATTTGGCATTTCCGTTTTGAAGTGCATTGAAACCCACCTATATGCTACATCAGGTACTAGTTGATCTGTTACAGATGCACATACTACATTCATTAAACGTGCAGATTTGACGAAACTTAAATGTAAAATAGGCAGGCACAAGCCTACTTAATTGTAAGCAATACCTTGTCCGATGTGGGTAGTGTGATTAGAGAGTGCAAGAGAGAGAGGTCTGTTGACCGTGCCATTCAAAATTTCCTTGCGCCTGCCATAGACGTTTCAATTATTTCTCATGGAGCATGATATTTTAACTATTAACTTATTTTTCAGGTCAAAGCAGAAGATGTCAACAGCAGAGTAGAAACAATTCTTGAAGAACTAAGAACAGCGAGAAATGAAGCATCATCTCTACGCAGCAAAATCGCAGTGCTTAAAGCAGCATCCCTGGCAAGTAAAGCTGTACTCGTTGAACCTCATAATGTCAGGTAATTGCTGCAACTGTTGCCACTCGTATGCACCCTACTTACTGTACTGTCTATCTGGCTTTCACAAATATACAGTATTTTTGTGCTACTTATTATTAAACCTCCCTCTCCTAAAAATTTGTGTTTTGTAGGATCCTAGTTGAGAACATGGGGGATGTGGATGCTGATGGGCTGAAAAGCGCAGCTGAGCATCTCGTGGGAACCCTCCAAGACCCAGCCGCGGTGATTTTAGGTTCAAGTCCAGGAGACGGTAAGGTGAGCCTGGTCGCTGCCTTCAGTCCTGGAGTCGTGAAATTGGGAGTGCAAGCAGGCAAGTTTGTGGGTGGAATAGCGAAACTTTGCGGTGGAGGTGGTGGTGGCAAACCGAACTTTGCGCAGGCTGGCGGTCGGAAGCCAGAGAACTTACCGGATGCCCTAGAGAAGGCTAGAGCTGAAATTGTTGCAGCGGTATCTTCAAAAGCCAGCTGATCTTCGATGGAGCCATTTACATACATAGGAAATAGAGCATATATTCACAAGCATATGTAAATTGTTGCCCCTTTCTGGGTTTATCTAAATCGTTCCTTCTGGCCACCAAGAGTGCAAGCAGACATTTTTTTGGATCTTTCCTTGACTTCTTCCAAGTGGTATACTGCACCGTGGCGAGTGAAGGTTCATTTTAATCATTTTGTAGCTGGTGGGACAACAGTTGCACATATATGCTGGAATACAAAGATTTGGGTCCAGTTTGCAACATGGGAAATGCAGGAATACAGAAACCATGAGAAAAAAATCTCATGTTTGTTGTTGCTGTAGGCTGTTTGGAAGCTTCGCAACTACTCCCTCCGTCCCATAATATAAGACGCTTTTTGCCACTAGTATAGTGTCAAAAAACGTCGACGGAGGGAGTAAAATACATGAATTAGGGGGATTTGATTTGCCATCTTTAGCTAATGAACGAAAAGGACAAAGTTATGGTTGTAGATCCCCTGTTTCTTTTTCCTCTGCAATAAGGGTTGTGTCTGCCTAAAAGAACAATCCTTGTTAATTGATCATTATCTTGTACTTTGCCATTTGGCCACTTGTTTATCAGGTTAAAATCAATTTTTTTTCGAACATAGAAAAATGATGAGATATCCAAAGAGTGTGTGGTAGTAGTATTTCGCTTTTAGTGTATTAGTAAGTTAGTCGGATTACAGAACAAATTGCACTTTTGAACACTATTATGTCACGTTTTCACATTGCACTAATTCTTGGCACTTTGTTTTTATGGCACAGTGGTTTATACAAAGATATAACTATTTTCATGAGAAGTTTCCATGACAATGATTTACATTGTTTCCATGAGCATGAACACAAATGTTCAAGGTCAACCCTCACTTTTATTTCCTTTGTATGTCCAGTCCATGCACATAACAGCTGTCAGACGTTTGAATTATACACTTATTTTGCCATGACACCCTTTTCTTACCCACGGAAATAATTAATTATGCACTTAGGATCAGGTTTAACATAGTTTAATCACAAAGCACAGATGCACTCTTTTTGCACAAATTTGTAGACCGATCTTAACTACATCAACACAACCCAATCACCTCTCTCTAGGGAGATTGCCAGCTATCCATAGCCACAAGTGTATCCGATCTTATTGAGACTCCCGCTGCACCAATGGCATCACAGCAACAGATATCTTCCTGGCCTCGTGGGCGACCCCCCGGTGCCCCCTGCTTGCTACACTGCGATAAATAGCCCCCTCATTCTATTCTGTGCTCTCAAGCCATCTCACAGCTCACACTAAGCCTCTCCCTCGCTCCATCGGAGAACCTAAGGGACAACTCCCGTCCTAGCAACCCAATGGCAGCGGCCACCATGTCCCTCTCCTCCCCGGCCTTCGCCGGCAAGGCGGTGAAGAATGTGTCGTTGTCGGCCCTCTTCGGTGAGGCACGCGTCACCATGCGCAAGACTGCGGCAAAGGCAAAGCAAGTTGCTTCAAGCAGCCCGTGGTACGGTGCCGATCGCGTGCTCTACCTTGGCCCACTATCAGGTGAGCCGCCGAGCTATTTGACCGGTGAGTTCCCCGGTGACTATGGGTGGGACACCGCTGGACTCTCAGCTGACCCCGAGACCTTCGCAAAGAACCGTGAGCTGGAGGTGATCCACTGTCGATGGGCCATGCTTGCTGCCCTCGGTTGTGTCTTCCCTGAGTTGCTTGCCCGCAATGGTGTTAAGTTTGGCGAGGCTGTTTGGTTCAAGGCCGGCTCCCAAATCTTCAGTGAGGGTGGCCTAGACTATCTCGGTAACCCCAGCCTCGTCCATGCGCAAAGCATCCTGGCCATTTGGGCTTGCCAAGTTGTGCTCATGGGCGCTGTCGAGGGGTTTCGCATTGCCGGTGGCCCACTCGGCGAGATCGTTGACCCAGTTTACCCCGGAGGTAGCTTTGACCCTCTCGGGCTAGCCGACGACCCTGAGGCGTTTGCAGAGCTCAAGGTGAAGGAGATCAAGAATGGCCGTCTTGCCATGTTCTCCATGTTTGGCTTTTTTGTGCAGGCTATCGTCACCGGCAAAGGCCCACTAGAGAACCTCGCTGACCATATCACCGACCCCGTCAACAACAATGCGTGGGCATTTGCCACCAACTTCGTGCCCGGCAAGTAAGACACCTACTAGGGTTGACTTGAGGGCTGGCGGGGTGGTCTGATATGTACTACCATCATGTAAATTACAAGAATCCGTGCAAAAGCATTGTTTGATCTGTCAACATTTATTCTCATGTCCTGTATTTAGCTACTTGTTGTAGTTGCACTCTATACTTCACTAGACAACGACTTGTGCACTGGTATTGTTTGATTTATCAACATTCATTCTCATGTCCTGTATTTAGCTACTTGTTGTGGTTGCACTCTACTTTACTAGACAACGACTTGTGCACTGGTAATGTCGGCTGTCAGTAAATATGTAGTGCTCGGTCAAGAGGTTCGGTCAAAATACTTGCCAAATATCAACCAATAGGAATAACCTCAATGCGGGTCGCGGAAATTTGGTCCAAGAAGAGTATGTGCTTCGGTGTTGTTTCCTTTTGTTTGCATGTAATACTAACTTCGCGATAATAAACGCTTCCATTAACGTCATCAGGAAAATAAAGAATACAATCGCCAAGAGGTTAAATGCACTTGTTTATAGTTACAATTGATTAACAAGGAGTTGAGAATTGTAATAGATATTATTACCGTAAAAATTGTGGTATGCACTGGTGAGACTCTTCTCATGTGTCCGAGTCAAACACATCTCCTCTGACTCAACCCTAGGCCTCATCGATGTTTCTCTAGGAGCTCCAGTGCCCCTTCCCCCCCTTCAGTTTAGCCAAGTGAGAGTGGATGGAGTACATGCCCGTGGGGAGGGCTGTATGGGTTAGGGGTCCTTGGCAAATGACAGACTTACCCTTGAGATAGTAGGTGGGAAATGTGGTGGAGCTAATCTTTGGTCCATGGGTCCATGGGTCCATGGTGAGCTAGGAAGGGAGGGAGTCCATAGTCAATGGTGGACCATTCCATCTGATCTCTCCATCATGTTAGAGCATCTACAACCCGTCTTGGTAAATCCGACCCCCTATACGTCCGCGGATACATCCGGACGGGTCCTTATATTTCGCTCCTGGCATCCACATACCTCAAATCCATGCAAATCCATGCACGTCGACCATACAAGTCAATGCCACACGAAAATAACAAATGTTGGTACTGAGCATAGATAGTGTTTACATCAATTTATCTTAAGTGCACAACTCAAACATTAGCTCCTTGGTTTCCATTGTGGATCCACATGTGCTCCACAAGATCATTGAGTAGCTGCGTGTGCACCTGATAATCTCAAAAATTCCGATGCATCTGTAGAAAGTTGATAAGCTGAGCTGCATCTTGATCCTCTTGGGCTACACCATCACCCTCATCCTCGACAATCATAACATGTCATCAGCTGCCACAAAGTTTTTGATTCCCACAACATTGCACTGCTATGCACAATTCCCCAACGATCTTGAAGCACACCAAATGCCCTCTCCACATCCTTCCTAGCCCCTTCCTGCATTGTTGCAAAGTGGCTCTATTTATTGCCATGCGGTTCAGATATGGTCTTCACAAACTCCGCCCACTGAGGATAGATACCATCGGCAAGATAGTATCCCATGTTGTACTCTCCATCGTTGACGGTGTAGTTGTACGGTGGTGATTCCCCGTTGCAAAGCCTCTTGAACACCGGGGACCGTTGAAGCACGTTGATGTCGTTGTGAGAACCCAACATTTGAAAGAAGGCATGTCAAATCCATAAATCATGTGATGCCACCACTTCTATTATGATGGTGGCCTCTTTTGTGTGATACATTCCCCGCGAACCTTTGGGGCAGTTCTTCCATTGCCAACGCATGCAATCAATTGATCCGAGCATTCTTGGAAACCCCCTTGCCTCACCAATAGCCAACAACTTCTCCGTGTCATGGTCATTTGGTTCTCTAAGATACTCAAGTCCAAACACCTCCACCATGGCGCGGGAAAACTTGACAATAGTCTTCAAGCATGTGCTCTCCCCCATCCTGACCATCTCACCAACGACATCTGCAGCAGCACCTAGTGCAAGCATCCTCGGAGCAGCCGTGCATTTCTGCTTGGCAGAGAAGGAGAGTTGTGCGAAGCAATCCCTTGTGAGCTTGAAGTAGTCGTCATGTGCCTCCACTCCGTCCACAATGCGCAAAAATAATGGTTTCCGCATGCAAAAACATCGAAGAAACCATGGATCATCTGGGAAAGTAGGGTCGGGAGGAAAGTAGTCCTTGTGCAGTAGCTTTGCTCCGGACACCCTATCCCGGTTGATCACTCGTCTCCCTTTGATTGGGCCCTTGAAGTTGAGAATATGCTCCACTTTCTGGACCATTTCCTCTTGCATGCTCATGAGCATGATCATGTCCACTTCTTTGTCCGAATCCGAGGAATCGAAGAACTCATCATGAATCATTTCATCAAGCTCTGTCGGTCCATACTCCGCGTACGATGAAGCATCAGAATGCATCGTTTTCCCTAATAAAATCACAAAAAATCCGGCCAGACAATGTGTCAAACACATCAAGCGCAAGGCAGAGTCAGAGAGTTGCCGGGTGTACCGCGGTGGCTTCCGAGCAAGCGAAGATGTCCCACGCGATGAAGGACGGGACAGAGGACTGCTCTGCTGGAGCTAGCGGCCCAGAGACTAGGAACGACTGTGGAGCACGCGTGACGGTGGAGCTGCAAGACGGACGACGCAGAGGAGGAAGAAGAGAGGAGAGAGCAAATGGATCCGGTAGGTTGGGGGGGGGGGATTTGGTGCAATTTGCGGTGGGATTGGGCTATGGGGTTCGACGTGGCGGGCATGCCTAGGAGCGCCCCGACGCTCCCATATCCGCCCAATATTTGGGCTGGATATGAGGGGTGTTGGTCAGTCCGGGTGTTTGAGGTCCGTTTGAG